GTGCGGTTGGCGCAGGATAGAGCAGGGTTTAGAGCTGTTGTGCATAGGGTCGCTATGAGTCGGAAACGACTCGATGGCACATAACAACAACAACAACAACTTTGGTAAATGCCAGAATGTCAGTATCTTTTCTTGACTGTTCAAAAAAAGAACTGTACACACAGGACTGATTTTGTGAACTTTTATTCAAAACGGTTGCAAAGCCATAGGACAATTTTAGGAGGTTTCTCATAAAATAGAGTCAGAAGGAGGTAAGGGGTTTATTTTCAGAAAAGAGGAGTTTGTGGTATAGATACACTGAGCTTTCTTTCTTTGCCTGTTCAAAAGAAATAGGAAAGAAAGCAGAGAAAACTAAGAGATTTAGGCTATTGAAAGATACTTTCTTTAACAATAGCATTCATTAACTAGCAAGGTTTAAAATTCATTGCTCCTCTCCATAGGTAGAAATGTCACAATAATGAAAAATTCAGTTGCCTAACTATTGTGTATAGTTTGATTTTACTTGGAAAGTTAGTAAACATGCAATCTTGCCCAACATATTCTTTTGCATAGAAACATGCAGAAAAATGATAATGAAAGGAAATGGTCCATTTTAGGGGAGGAGATTAGATGGGAGGGACTGGATTAAGGAAGAGCATACAGGGGGACTTTGGGGCAAAGGGCATTCTGCTACTTAAATGAGATAATAAATACGCTGGCCTGCCTTGTAGGACTAATCTTCACAGCAAAGTTTTCATATATTTTAAGGGGTCCCTGGATATGCATACCTATTAAAAGACTGGAGGTTTGAGCCCACCTAGAGATAACTTAGGAGAAAAGCCTGCTGGTCTCCTTCTGGAAACAAGTAGCCATTGCAGACCTTGCGAGGGCTCCACTTATACACTGCAAGTCACTGTGAGTCAGAGTCAACTCAAGCACACTAGGGTGGGTTTTTTTAAAAGATGTTCTATAAATATTCTTGGTAGCTATATAATAAAAACTCTTCATATTTTTGTACCTCAGATTAAAGAGTAATATATCAGTACCCATACACTTTCAACAACTACAAACACAACCCCATCATGATTTATTGGAATCCAGGGATAAGCCTGAGAGTTAACTGTCTTTTCCTCTGAATAAACTCTTACTATATTGTTTCTATCCTGTGTCTCCATTCGTAGAAAACTCCTTGGTAATTCTGTAATTATTGTGTTTTGATAGTGAGTCAAGAAATCTCCTAGAAGCTGCAACTCAGGGTGCATCTTCATCCATTTCCCTGGTGGCCAACATCACAGTGAATCTCATTGCCTTCCTTGCCCTGTTGGCTTTTCTCAATTCAGCCTTGTCCTGGTTTGGAAGCATGCTTGACTACCCACAGCTGAGTTTTGAGGTATGGTTTTTCCATGCTTCTTTCCTCCATTTGTTTTTGTCTCTCTCAACCTAAAAATAAATTTGCAACAATCCTTTGCTAACCATCAATCACATGTTTTTTGTTGTTGCATATCCCCTTCCTCCATTTCCTCACTCTCTTTCCTCTTACCACTCCTTTCCTTCCCCAACACATATTCATTCTCTCCTCTCTCACCATGAACACTCAAGATTACATGCAATGACCCAGCCTCAACTTTAACTCTTAACAAATAAAACACTGTGAAAGGATAGCCAAGCCTGAAAGGGACGCAGAAGAGTAGGAGCAACTTTGGAGCTGAGAATGAGGCAGAAATGGAAATGGATGCTTATAAACACTATTGGTTTGTTTTTGTAGATGATATGCTCCTACATCTTCATGCCCTTGTCCTTCATGATGGGAGTTGACTGGCAAGACAGCTTTATGGTTGCCAAACTCATAGGTTATAAGACATTCTTCAATGAATTTGTGGCTTATGAACACCTTTCAAAATTCATTCACCTGAGGAAAGAGGCAGGACCCAAATTTGTGAATGGGCAACAGCAGTATATTTCGGTGAGTAACAGTTTTCATTTTTCTGTGTATATTCGTACCCAAAGCACTGAATAAACCTGTTGTCACTGAGTCATCTCCAACTCCTAACAGACTTTAGGACAAACAAAACTACTGTGGGGGTTTCGAAGGCTGTAATGTTCATAGTGCAGACTGCCAGAGTGACTAGTGGATTCATACCACTGACTATTTTGTTAATCAAGTGCTTAACCACTGTACCACTAGGGCTCCTTCATTCATCCAAGAACAAAAGAGACCACAAAATCGTGATCTCATGGCATTTCAAACTGCACATTGTTGGTGTGAACTGTCGTTGCACTGGCTCCTGGCTCATATGGTGCCATGCATGGACAGATGAAACCCTGTCACGCTGGCTCCTGGCTCCTACAGTCCAGGCACAGGCAGATGAAACCCAGTAACTACATGATCTTAGTGCCTGACTTTGGAAGAAGATCATCAGGTCTTTCCTCCTATATTGAACTTTTTTGTTATGTTAAGAGTGTGTGTGTGTGTGTGTGTGTGTGTGTGTGTGTGTGTGTGTGTGTGTAAACCTTACCACTGTGATCTATTTCAGGTGTTGTTGTTGTGTGATGTCGAGTTGGAACCAACCCATAGCTGACCTTCTAGCAGGTTTTCACAGGCAATAAAGCTCACAAGAAGAGATTGCTCATCTTTCTCCTGTGGAGCAGATGGTAGACTTGAATCATGTTTTTGGGTTGGAAGCATAACTCCTTACCACTAAGCCACCAGCATTTCCTTTTTACTAATAGCATTTAATTCTTTTGAACAATTTTAGATTTATAAGAAAGTTATATAGAAAGTACACATAGTTCCTTTACCGGATTTGTTATTATTAACTAAATTCCACAGTTTACATTCAAATTCACCCTTGGTGTGGTACAGCCCTCTGGGTTTTACTAATACACACAATTTTGTGTCAACCATCCCAGTAATGTGCACTCCTGACCCTGAGATCCGTCTACTTGCCCCTCCCACTCCCCTGGAATCCCTGGCAGCCTCTGATTTTTTTTCATTGTATTTATAATTTTGTCTTTTCTAAATTTTAATGTAGCTAGAACCAAGGTGTAGCTTTTCCAAAATGAATTCTTTTACATAAGCCAAACAAACCCACTACTATGGAGTCAATTCTCTCTCAAAGTGCCTTCATCAGGTTTTGAGGCTGTTAATGCTCTATTTGTAGGAATGTACCAGAATCTGTGCATCCAGTTTTTGAAAGATGATCAAATGCTGGTGATTTAAATGTAAAGAAATTAATTTCTCACTTTGAGCCTGAATGAAGCCCTCATTCAGGGCACTGACTCTAGGGCTCTTATGTTTGAGAAGTAGAGGGGAAGGTCCCTGGCTTTTTTCAGCTTAGATTCATTGGTGATCATGTGACAAGTATTTTACTCTTCATTAGTGGTTGCTTGCTGTAATTGCTTAGTCTGGTCTTTCATACCTCAAAGAGATTGATTTAAGATATACCTTTTGCTATTGTTGTTCTATTAAGGTAAACAAAACAAAACACACCACAAAACACAAAACTTATTCCCAGTGAAGATTACAGCAACAGGAATAAAAGTTAGGATGTACAACATCTATTTTGGAGAGAGAAACAATTCAATCCATAATAGTAAACAATAGGCTAAATTAAGTGAAATGCATTCCAGTCCTGATACCTAGTTAGCAAGAGAAAACTCTTCTTGTCAATCAGGAAAAACAATTTTCAGTTCTGGAAATTCTAAGCAGTTTTGTGAAAAGGTTACTAAGAAGGTAGAGACAGAAAAGTAGAGCTGATTAATATTTGGTGTGAGCTCAAAGACACAGGGAGTGTTTGCCATTGTTGAATCATGAGGGGAAAATATTTTGTACCTCCAAATTTCTGAGCTCCCAACAGCAAAATGAGGGGGAAAGTTACTGTAATTTCTTCTTACCAACTAAGATGTTGGGCTTTCCCTTGGAGAAAGTTTCACGTTTGTAAAGTCTCAGGCCATGAGACAAAAACCCTGGTGATGCCCATTGAACTATGCCCATTGCTGACCATCGAAAAACTATCTAGGGAAGAAATCAGGATGTAAACAGCATGATGTCTTACTTAACTTGAGCTACTGTAATAGAAATACCACAAGTGAGTGGCTTTAAAAAAGAGAAAGCTCTAGAGAAAGTTCTGGAGACTGAAGCCTCTAATTTGGGCTGTCAGTTCTATGTGCCTCTCTGTTTCTGAGACTGCCAATAAACCTTGTCCTTTTGGTGCTTGTAAACCATCTTTATGTGGCATTTGTAGCCTTCCTCTGTATATATCTGTGCCTACTCTTTTTGTAACCACTCTCCTATGATGTGGCCTTATTAACATAAAAAAATGAAGCCCAGTTCCAAACAAGATTACTCATCCACCAGTGCACAACTTGATACAAAGCATGAAGGATGAATGGAACACTCCTTCCATTGTTCCTTCTTCTCTTAGGATAAACATACTTTTTTTTCTACATGTAGTACATGCTGTCATATAGAGAAGTATAAGAGGCATAGAAAGAAAAGAAGGTTACCTCGCTTTTCTCTGCTCCCAGTTCCTCTCTTTGCAGAATATTGTCTTAGTCATGTACCTTACTCTTTGAAACATGCTTTGGATATAGTTATATATCAGTGCCTACAGCACAGTACTTTATAGTATGTAATAATTTTTTAACCAATCTATTTGCTGAATATTGTTCTCAATGCTTTACCCTTATAATCAAAGCTAATATGTCTGTCCTTGTGCATAATACACAGTCCTCTCCTGTACAAGAAAAGCTGGAGGATGTATTCTTTTTCTAGTACAAAGCATCATCTCAGCTTCTTTTTCTTCTTGTTCTAAAACCATTCCTGGCCACATCCTGTGCATGCCCTCCTCAAAGATTTTCAGAAATGGCACAGAGGAACCTGAAGCCTTCTGCCCTCTCCCCCCATAGTCTAACAATTAACCTCTCTGCTTTCAAAGCCAATGAACAAATATGAGAAACACTAGAGAGAGCAGGAGACAAAGAGAGGGAAGTGGTTGCTTTTCAAAGAATGGTGGACTGTGCTTGCAGTAATTATCCAGCCTGCTATAAGCCTGATTGAAAAGATCAACAAAAGGGTTCCCAGAACACTGAAGAAGTGAGCCTTACAATCAACTAAAAAGTTACCATGACTGTTTCAGTCGGAATGTTAGCTTTTGAAAACTTTGATCAGCAAAATCTTACCTGCTTTGTTCTTTCAATCAAATCTGAATTTGTAAAGATAATGGGGAATAATAATATGATTGCTGAGGTGTGTGGGTACCTCTGCCAGTGTGATGAGTCTTCAAGTCAACTTAAGAAGGAATTAAAGGGTCTGAGCACCTTAGCCTGTACAAATGGAGCCAACAGCTGTGCTCACACTTCTGTACACTCTACCCTCTTTCCAACTGTCCGGTGAAAGGACTGCCCCTTTCCTATGTCCATACATACATGCATACTCATATTCCTATGAGGAGGTAACAGATTTGAGGTGCATGGAAAGAGGCGAGGAATTACAAGCCACATTTTGCTAATGTAATTCCTTTTAAACTATATCATTTCCAAGGTACAATTTACATAGTAAAAAGTGCCCATTTAAGTGTATATTCAGTTTTGATGAATGTGTCACCTGTGTAACCATCACATCACCCAAAACATCTTCATCACCCCTAAAATACTGTTTTAATGGACCATTGCAGTTAACACATTTCTCCAGCTTTGTCCCAGGCAAGTAATGATATGCTAGGCTTTCATACATTGTAAATAGATTTTGTTTGTTTTAGAATTTCATGTAAATGGAATCCCAGAGCATCCATGTTGTTTCGTGTGATTTTTTTCCCTTTTTTTTAATATTTCAGAGCAGTATTCTGTTTTATGAATAGTTTATCATCTTGCCTCTTGGTGGACATTTGGATTATTTCCTGTTTGGGGCTGCTAAGAATGATGCTGCTGTGACTATTTATATGCAGGTCTCTGGGCAGGTGTTATGCTTTCTCCTGAGTAAATTGCTAGAAGTGAGATTTCTGGGTCATATCTGGCAATATACCTTAACTTAAGATAGCCCTGACAACTGGTCCAAAGAAGGAGTGTTATTTTACGTTCTCCCCTACAAGGTATATGAATTTCAGGTGATCCACATCTTTGCCAGTGATCCACCATCTTTGGTATGGTAAGGCTTCTTAAAGAAATTATTCCAGTGGATGTGAAGTTATATCTTACTGTACTTTTAATGTGTGTTTCCCTCATGACTCATGATGTCAAGCATCTTTTTGTGTATTTTATAGCATTGCATATCTTTTGTGAAGTGTCCTATCAATTTTCCATGAGTATTTGTTTTCTTTTATTGAGTTGTAGCAGTTACATTCTGGCTAATTCCTTTGTTGGTTGTCTCCTTTCTGGGACCAATTTAGTATCTCCTGCAGGTATAATACTTGGCACATAATGACAAGTGACTAGGTCTTAGTTAAGAACTTTTAAATCATTGACTAGGTGAAAAGATTACTTCTAAGTACTGAGGGGACAAGGGGAACATGTGGCTGCTAACTCCAAGTCCTTTGCAGAGCTGAATGCATACATCCTCTCTCCACACACCTTCAGAATTCATGGGGAGAGGAAACATCTTGGAAACCATGGGTATTGGCATGCTACATTTATATGTCAGCCTGGTATTCAGAACACAAGGCCCATTAGGATGTCAGGTTTACTGAGGTGGGTCAGATTATGTATCTATGCGTGTCTGTGTTTGCTTACAGATTCGTTCTGAGACCATTGCTACATATGCCCTCTGTGGCTTTGCCAATATTGGTTCCCTAGGAATAGTGATCGGCGGACTAAGTAAGTGAAGAGTTCAACAGAAGTGACATACTTCACACTTCCATCTTGCTCTTTAACTTCACATGGGGGGTTGGGAGGAGATGTCTTATAGCAATAGTATATCCTTTTGAATCTATTTTTATCTCTACTCTTCAATATAGCTTTCTCATAGGCATCCATAATAACCTCAAGTCTAAGTTGAGGTAAGAATTGCTCAAATAAACTTCAGAAAGCATTTCCTCAAATGTATATCTGCTTCCCCTAAGCTAGGGATCCCACACAGGTTTAACTTTGTGTTGCAATCCCAATAACTGTCTTAAGGGCTCCAGGAAGTTTCTGAAGTCCAAGTGGAACTTCAGTGGGAAAACCTGTGATGTCTATCACAGTGGAGATGGTGCTAGATGGGTTGCAAAGATCTGAGATCCCTCTTGCAGCCCATCTGCCTCGTCATCTGTCCTCAATATACTGTCAGCCCTTTGGGTTAGAGCTACCCTTTGGGTATTGTCTATGGAGGAAAGGGAACATTAGGCTTTATAGTGAAAACCTACTTGGATGTGAATCTTATCACTAAGCTTTTGAACCTGGATTTCTCAGTTGACTTGAAACCCCAGAGGCAGGGAATCTTTATCAGTAGCCTCACACACTTGCTTTCATATTTCCAGCATCCATGGCTCCTTCCAGAAAGCGAGACATCGCCTCAGGGGCAGTAAGAGCTCTGATTGCAGGAACCATCGCTTGCTTTATGACGGCCTGCATTGCAGGTACTTTGAGTCTCCATGAATTCACACTATGGCATCTGTCAAGGGCAATGCCTCCAGCATGCACATGCAGCAAACACAGCCACAGGAAGCTGTGAGTTGGAACTGTCATCAAGCTTATTGAAGAGCTAATGAGTGGAGCTAGCGGGAGACAGTAAGTAAGTAAGATCCTTGACTTCATTATTAGTAAAATAAAAGGCATTCTGTTCCACTTCCAGGCATGCTGTCTGACACTTCTGTGGACATCAACTGTCATCACATTTTTGAGAGTTCCTTCAACTTCAGTAGGCCTAGAAACACAACTGAAGAGGTCTTTTGTTGCCAAAGTCTATTCAACAGGTATCTTGAGTAACTCTTTAATTCCATCTTTGATAATTTAATCAGGCCTAGGAGCCCTGCCAATCTATTTTTCTAACTTATATATGAAATGATAATGTAATAAAGTAATAATGTGGCAGTTCTAGTCACCTTTCCTTTTTACTTTTCTCAGATAAGTAATCAGAACACTAACTTAAATAAGTATTTACTATGTGGCCAGCTGTATGATGGACCCTTCATAGAAATGATCTCCATCAAACTTTACAACCATAAGTTAGGTGTTAAATTTTTGCATTAGATAAAGCCAAGGTTGAGAGAAGCTACATTACTTAGACAAGGTAATTAGTACAAATATAACTAAGATGCAGAACTGAAATGTATCAACCTGTAGCATAGAGCAGGTATCCAGCCCCTTCCAGGACCCCCTTTCACAGCAGTGAAGCCAGACAGGTTGTGTGGACAGCCTGGCGATGGACTGGAGTGGAAGTGGGCCACCAAGATCCCTATGGTCGATTCTAACCCTTTACTGTTTCTAGCAGAAAAACCAATAATACTTACCCCATCTAACCTTCTTAGTAACTGACACAATGAATCTTTTGTTTATTCTAAAAGAAATATAAAGGTCTTTCAGACCATTCAGGATTTGAGACCCCAAATTAACTCCCTTATACAGCTGTCCCTTAACTAGATGTGAGAAGGGTTTTTTGTTATTTTTAGAGTGTTATCTTTTACCTGCTCTTTCCCTGGTGTCCACTAACTGCCTTATTTTATTTATTTATTTATTTATTTTTTACCAGCACTGTTGTCCAGGGGAAGACTATACCAGGAGGAAACTCTAGCCTGTATTTTTTCAAGGGCTGCTGCAAATTGTTGAACCCATCCACATTCAACTGTAGCCAGATTTTAAATCCATTTTGAGTCCAGGATCTTCTCAGTGAAACATCTGAATAAAGCTGCTGGATTTTCTTACTTTGAGGAGGACAAGAATCCCAAATTCTCCATAGGTTGATAACTCCCCTATGGAACTGGCTTTATCTGGAAGGAGAGGGCAGGAGTTAATCTTCCATATCTACAATATTGACTGCTACACATTCCCCTCTACTTCTGCCCTGTTGAGACAATTGTTCTGGCAGTGTTTTCTGATGTTGGAGTTTCAGATCATTTCTTTCTAAAATAATTGAAGTTTCCCAACAACTAGGCTAAGACTTAACTAATGGGACATTGTTGTTGTTGTTGTGACCATTGATTCAGAACTGACGCATAGCTGACCCTCCAGCATGTTTTCAAAGGCAATAAATTGCACAAGAAGATACTGATCATCTTCTTTCTGTACAGCAGTTGGTGGATTAAAACTGTGGGCCTTTGGACTGGTAATGCAATTCCATCCTTACCATTAAGCCACCACAGTTCCCTTAATAAATATAGTGGTTTATTAAGTTTCAATTTTAGTTGTTATTGTTTGATGCCACCAACTCACAGCAACTGTATGTGCAGAAAAGTAAAATGTGGCTGAGAAATGTGCAGTACTCACAGAATCATTGCTATGCCAAAGCCCATTGTTACAGTCACTGTTTCAATCCATTGGAGAAAGAGTCTTTATTCCTTTTCATTTTTCATTCTTTTTCAAGACAGAAAAAGGAGCATATTGGCTTTACTTCTTTCAAAACCAATCTTTTCATCTTCTGGCAATCACAGTACATTCAATATTCTCTGCCAACACCATCATTCTAATACGTTGCTTCTTCCTCAGTTCTCTTATTCATTGTCCAGCATCCACACATTACATAGTTGTTATGTACTGTCGAGTCAAAATCAACTCATAGCTGATCTTCTAGTGGATTTTCAGAAGCAGTTAATCACTCTGGAAGAGATTGCCCATCCATCTCCTGTGGAGCAACTGGTGAATTCAGACCATGTGACTTTGGTGGTATAGCACCTTACCATGAAGCCATCAGAGCTCCTTCATGCATCATGTTGTTTATTGTTGTTAAGGGCTGTCCAGTTGAGCACAACTCATAGAGACCCTCAAACAAAAGACCTGAACCTTTTTCTATAACTATTGTTGTTTTTCTAAGTTCATAGGGTTTCCAGAAGGGTGTTGTTTAGGAAGTGTATGCACTCCTGTTTCCAAGCCTGTCTTAATCTGTCTTAATCCATACACCATAGGCAACTGAAAATAACCATCACTTGGACAGGTCCAGTTAGTCCTCAAAGTTCCTTGTTACTTTTTAACACTTTCTGCAGCAGATTTTCCTAAGTGTCCATGTGCCCTTCTTTTCTTTCTTTCTTTTTTTTCTTGTTGTGTACCATAGAGTTGGATCTGACTGGCACAGGAGGGGATTGCCCCTCCTTCTCCAGTGGAGCAGCTGGTGGATTCGAACTGCACATCTTCGAGATTGCAGTGAAGCTTCTTGCCCCTAGGCCACCGGAGCTCCCTTCCATGTGCCTTTCTGACCAATTAATTTTTAAATTATATCTGGGACCACTATTCCTTAAATACTTACAAGTCTTTTAAGAACTCTTTTTCTTCATTTTAACAAGGATTTAATAACCACTACCTTATGGCATTTTATCAATTACATTTTCTTCTTTTGATGTTTTCCAAATTATGAAAAATAATAACCTGTTCAATGTAAAACTATAGATTATGTATATTTTTTAAAATGTGACTCTTAACTCCACTCTGTTCACTTTAACTCTTTCTAGTCTCACCCCTCTGAGATTATTAGAATAAGTCTTTATATACTGTTTTCAGTTTGCTTCTCTTCACTTGGCAATATTTCCCAGATAATCCTACAAGTTATGAGGTATAGTGCTAGCACCCTCTATCCCTCTCCCATTTGCCTTGTGTGGTGTGAGCATGGGGATGGGGCATATGTTTAACATAAATTAAATAATCCATATACATGGAGGGAAGGGATTTAGACTTCTTACAGGCAGGTAACCTAATAGCTAATAGCCTGATATGTAAATTTCTTTACTTTCCTCCCACATTCAGATTGCTGTTGTTATTTGCTGTTGAGTTGACTATGACTCCTAGTGATACTATGCACAATAGCTCTCAACCCTGCTCTATCCTGAACCAGTCTCACTCTCTCTGACACATCTACCTTCATACCCCAGTTGCTCTATCAATCCACCTTATCTGGAGTCTTCTTTTCCTGCTTGCTCTGTTGCTCCACCCTTCCAAGCATAATGTCCTTCTCCAAGGACTGGTGCCTCCTGGCAACATACCCAAAGTATGTGAAACAAAGCTTCAAAATCTTTGCCTCCACGGAGCAGCTTAGTTTTACCCTCTAAAGGACAGACTTGTTACATTTCAAAAATATAAACATACCTTGAGATGATATCTTTATAAAAATGAAACTATTATATGTTTGTAAAGCTTATTCTTTGGTAATAATTTCTTCATAGATATTCCTTCCTGGTCACTTGCAAAATTTTAATTCATTCTTCTCAAAGACATTAAAATAGATTGTAGTATATTCTTTATTTTTTTTTTCAATAGAATATAAGGTTTTATTTGCTGCCACTCCTTAGGAGGCAGTAAGCTTTCCAATTTGTCTAGTCCTGGTAAAAAAAGGACACAAGAGATTGCAAATCCACAGGTGTGGAGAAAGGACTGTAAGGTTCACCCCAAAATACATCCTCCAGCAATGACTGACCCACATGTCACACCTCTATTAGTCCTTTG